AGTAGATTGACCAAAATCTCACAATAATTATTTGGAAGGTAAAACATGGACAATTTTTTTCTATTCTTGCTTTACATTACTTTGAATTGTTCATATTTTTACGATTATTTTATTATTATAATTGAGGCAATTACAATAAACATTATAAATAAAAATAATTTTATCCTTCTGCAACCAAAAACATATAAATTTCTAATAGCTATTAATTAACAGGAAAGAAAATGCAAAGTTAACGTAATTTTAACAAGGAACCTTTTTTAGGTCAGTGATAACCCATTTGAAAGAATTCACTTTCTTGATAGATGCTAAAGACATTTATCTTTAGGTTCTTAAAATTAATAAAATTATACTTAGGTAATGTTTAAAATGTGGATATCCATGATTCCATCTGTAAGTAAATCTTACTATGTAATTTTTCAAAGCCATATTGTTTTAGTTATTTTTTAAATTGGGAATATCTCCAAACACAGTTATGGGCTTAAAAGTGAATTTTTGGCTAATATGAGCTATTTGGCAATTTTTTAATCCTGGATTTCCCCACATTTCTGTTTATTATACTACAATAAAAAATGATCTTATGAAATACATTAAGCTTAATGAGATTTTGGTTTGAAACACAAAATAATTAAGAAAAACAAAACTAAAGCCAGAGTACTAAATTCTAAAATTAAGTAAAAGCAGTGTTTAGCCATGAGATGCCTGGAAGAGAGTATCATTAGGACATGTTGGCTAATAGTAATTCCCCTCCCTTCAACTGCAGTTTGTGTGAAGTTCCAATAAAAATACATGGTTCTAAAACATGCGGACAGCTAATTAATATAACTACAAATGAACACTTCAAAGTAAAAAGGACAACCTAAGGTTTTTGAGTGCTATCGAAAATAAATCAGAACTTAAATGAAAACAAAAATCAAAGAAAGCTGCATAGAATTTTCTCAATGCCAAAAAAATCCTACTAAAAAAAAGTCCTTGTGTTACAAACAATTTTCTTGAGAATATAAACATTAATTTTGGAATATGCTAAACCAAGTAAATTAACAAGGAATAGTAGACATTACCTGTCATTAAGATTCTTATCTTCAAACCTTCCACCTTGGATTTATGAATGTTGAGTATGTATACTGTGTCCTATATGAGTATATACACATAACACACATACATGCACTCTCTCTCTCTCTCTCTATATATATATATATATGTGTGTGTGTGTGTGTGTGTGTGTATGAACAAATACAGCTGATACTTGAACAATACAGGAATTGATCCCATGCAGTCAAAAATTTGTGCTTAACTTTTGACTCACGAAATCTTAACTGCTAATAGCCTACTGTTGACCAGAAGCCTTTCTAATAACAAAAACTGAATACATATTTCATAAGTTATATGTATTATATACTGTATTCTTACAATAAAGTAAGCTGGAGAAAAGAAAATGTTATTTAAATAATCACAAAAAAGAGAAAACGCATTTACTGCTCCTTATGCGGAAGTGGATCATTACAGAGTTCTTCATTCTTCACACTGAGTAAGCTAAGGCGGAGGAGGAAAAGTAAGTGTTGCTCCTGCTGTCTCACGGGTGGGAAGTGGAAGAAAATCCACATATGAGTGGAACCTCACAGTTCAAACCTGTGTTGTTCAAGGGTCAACTAAAATGTCATGACTCTTCTTTGTTTCTTGGGAGCATTTCCAGCATCATTAGTGGCACTTTCTATAGGTCCTATGGTGTCATTCAAAGTTTATTAAACAAGGTGAAAAATATACACAAATCACGAGAGATCGTTTTTACTGCAATACCCAATTCATTGGAGATACAGCTGGCTCACGCAGAGATGATTAGCATCACATGGTGTTTTAGAAAGATACTCACTGCACTTGAGCTCACTGCAATAGCAACAGGAGGTGGCTATGAAATTATTCTATTCTTTACAGTAGTACAGTATGTACCACAGTTAATTTTATGCAGTTATGACTTAATACTGCATGTTTGTGTTTGTTTCCATTTCTCTAGACTACTAATGGCTCAGTGTACAGTCTGTTTGTATGCATATGTTTTGAGAATTTTTAACTTTTGGGTATATTTTGTGACAGAAATAAGAAAATAGACTAGTATCCACATATATTTTATGCATTCATGACATGGCTAATTAATCCTAATATTTTCAACATTTCAAGGTTACACAGTTCTTCCACAAGTTTTTCAAATTATTGCATATCTACAAATAATTTTCCAATAGCTTTATTGAAAAAAAATCGACCTGTAAGGGTATCCATGCTGTTAAAACGTGTGTTGTTCAAGGCTCAAATGTGTGCAATATATACCTATATGCACACTGCGTTAATGTTTACTAAAGAGTCTAGGACAAACCATGAAATAATAACAGTGACTACTTCTGGGCTTTGGAAATCTAGGTAAATGTTTTTTTCACTTTGTTAGAATCTACAAATTGCAAATTATTTGGTGAAAGATTCTCATAAGTATACAATTCCTGGATGCTATTAAAATATAAATACATAAAAGTATTAATAGGAAAATTTTGAGAAAATGTGACCCAAGAAGTTATTTATTTCTTACTCTATTGTTCTTTTCTTCTTATATCAGCTGAAATGAGTCTACATCTTTTATTTAATTGTAAAGTTAAAGTTTATTTTTAAAACTAATATTTAGAAACAGTGGGATGGCAGCAGCGAAGGTTAAGGAGATTGAAGAATCCTGTCGTACTAGTTATTGAAGCCCCTTATAATACAAATTGCCTTAAAAAGTGCCTTTAAAGCATAAAAATAGAATAATTAATCAATAAAAGAGTCTTAAATAGATTCAACTCTTATGAGGAGCTTAGTAAAACATGGTAAGTTTTTCAACACAAAGGAGTTAAAAAGAACTATTTAATACAATTGGTTGAGATAACAGTTTGAAAGGAAAAAAGAGAGAGGGGGAAGTTAAAGCCAATGTGAGATGATTCACTAAAATAAACACCAGAAAGACTAACGAGTTAAAACAAAACCCTAGACTATGAAAAAGTCAAAGTGGCAGGAAGTCAACTACTTAAGAAATCATGAGCAAATATATTTTTAGTTTTAATATTAGAGAAAATTTTAAAAGATTATTGCAATACTATAGAGAAATGCAAAATGCACCAGTAAAAAAAAAAAAAAAAAAAGCAAAACCATTAAAACATTTACCTCAAAATTTTGATCAAAAATCAATATGTCTAATTAGAATTTATCCAAAACTATAAAAATGTAGGACAGACAAATGGAGACAGTTATAAATAAAAATTAGCAAAAGATAAAAATTATAAGTAATCAAAATATGCAGAAAGTTCATTTGTATTAGTAAACAAGCAACAAATCAAAATAAATGTGAGATATTGTTTTACAACTACTAACCTGGCCAAAATAAATTTTAAAGATAACAGGCTAGCAAGAATGTGGGGAACTGGTCCACCACATTTTTGACTGCATTTATAACTCATTTTGAAAACAATGTGGCAGTTGGAAACAAGGGTGATGAAGAGGTTTCTTCTCCCTAGCTCAGATATTTCACTATATGGACTTTACATTGAAGATATAATTTCACAGAAATAAAAACTTTTGTACAAAACTTTTGCATGTTGTATTACAGCAATGAAAATGGAAATAACTATATTAAACAATTGGTAGATAAATTAATAGAGATATATGAAAAATACTTAGAAATAGAAAAAATTCTTATCATGTAAGTCAAAACAAAATATGTCATAGTGTATATTCTGTATTATTTTCAATTGTGTAGTAAATATAGTAAAAAATGCAAACTAGAAAAATAATTGATGTCCTAAAATAATAAATATGTGCATGTTTCCTAATTTAAAAATGTTTAAACCCAGTTATTCCTGGTTACTGGTACAAAGATATAATAACCAGATACCAAAAATTATGGTTTTATAAAATAAAAAATATTTTTTTATTAATAAAGCATATAGTCAAAAAAATAAGTTTGTAGTCAGGGTACCTCATACATGTGTGTTTGTGTATAATGGAAGGGTCCCTGGTGTATTTATTTCTATATTTCTTATGCAATTCTCTTCAGAAGTGATAATATACGTAAATTATTGCATGTATTCTATGGACTTCATAGAGTCAATATGAAGGTTAAACAAAATAATATGTTTGAAAATACCTATTCTGGTCTATAGCTGTACAATACATTCCAGGTAAAATTTTCTTTCAATATATTTAATAAAAGGACAATAATATCAAGGATTTGTTACATTATAACTTTAATAAATGTAATACAAAGATTCGTTATTTCACCTTCAAATGAAAGAACTAGAACTGATCGTTTTGGTAGGCCCCACCAACTCTATAAAGTTCTATGGAATGAGCAGAGCATGAAGTCAGAAATCACTAAAGGACAATTATAAGAAGATGATAAATGCATGGAATGCCCTGGAAAAGCATTCCTTAAAAGCTTTAAAGTGTGTGTGTGTGTGTGTAATGTGTCTAAAATAACCTTTTATAAAAGAAACAAAATTAAAGCACAATATACAGGGCCCTTCATTACAACATCTACCTGGTTTCACAGCATGCAATGCACATTCAGAAAACAGATGTCTTTAACTTTCTATGACCCAGGTAAGCAAAGTCTAATTCTAGGATGCAGTGCTTTTTTTCATTTTTCTGGAGTGACAAATAACGCTTCTCACATGGGAATGCATTATCTACTTGAGGAAACACAGGTGGCTCTTTGATCTCCCCTGTGCTCAATGCACAGATAAATACTTACACATGCACAGATAAACGCTTCCACTCCACCATCTGATCATTGGAGGACAAAGCACATCCATGCAGCCTATTACATTTGCTCTAAAGCCATGTCTGGTTTGCATGGTAAATTTCGTAGTCTCTATTTACTAGGCTCATAGAGGGGATACTCAACGCTAGATCCCCAAAACTGGATGTTATTCTCTAATCCCTCCTAATTCTCTAGACTCCTCAAAGTGTCTGTGCCCAACACATACCTGTTTCTTCTGGATCCTGAACGGCACGCTTCTTTCTGCTGCTCTGACTGGGGTTGCCTTCTCCTGGAGCTGGTGCTTCAAAGATCTGAGAAGAGAAAAACTCCAAGTTATTGGAAAGACAGCTGAGGCAAGGGAAAGGCACCAGTGGAAGCAGGATCGTGCCTGCAGCTTGCAGCTGCTGCAAACTCACTTTCAGTCCCGCGGTGACAGCTGGAGCTTCCTTCACGGTGGCCTTGGGGGCTCCTGCCCCTGCTGGCAGCTGCTCTGAGTGGTGGCCCTGCAGCTCTGCCCGGAGGCTGGCCAGATCCCCTTGCAGGGCGGCCACTTGATAGAAAGACACCACCGTGAGGCAGCAGGACAGCAGTGCCAGCAGCAAGGTTGCAGCCAGAAGCTTTCCGTCTTTGGAGGATCGGACAGAGGGGCTTTCCTTCTGTGGGAGGGTGGAAATACACTCCTTCAGTTTCATTTCTTCTCTTTTCTTAAGGCAAGAAGTAAGGCGTGACTGCTCCCTTTCTGTAGAGTCATCCATATCACGACTTGAACTTTGAAGGTTGGGGCCTTTAGAATAAGTGACCACAGGGAATGGGTCATTTCCTGTTATCTGTGTGTGTTGATGTCCTGCGTGCGATGGCAGGGTTTGGCTCACCCCTCAGGAGGGTTCTCCTGAATTTTCTTCTTTCTGCCTTTCTGCATCTCTACCCCTACTGTACAGTAGGTTTGCTGGCATTTGCCCTCTGATTGGATTGCTCAATCTGTGTTCCTCATTTCACTTTCAGTTTTTGTAAGAATTTCAAGGTCATCTCATAACATCCATGCTCAAGTAGATTTAAAGCCCCTTAAATCTGCTGAGGAAACTTGGAGTTATTTGGCACATTCAAGGGAAAGCTTTGAAGACATGCACATGTCTAAGAAGCCCTCCCTTAAGCGTAGTAAGGGAGCCTTGGCTCCTTAGGGCCACATGGCTTCATAAGGAAGGGGGAAAAGCGGCTGAAAGTTTCTGGTGCTGTAATAAAAGTAATTAATGTGAAGGTCAGATAAGCTAAGTGCTTTAGCGTTGAATTGTACTTAGCTAGAGAGTGATTTATTAACAGTCTTCAAGTATGAAATAAAATGGAGTATCCTTGAAGGATACATGGAAGTAAATTCACTGGGAATTACTCATATTATTATCCAAATAATGTTGTAAAACTGAGACTAAGTTTTGCAGACATATTTAGACATCAGAAGGATTCTCTAAATATAAGTGAATGTATTTTTAAGGAAAACATGCATACACGTTTTCCTCCTGAGACTCATCACTGAAACTCAATTATGCATATGGACAGCCTGTCCCAGGGAGCCTGGTCTCAGCTTTGCTGCTCAGACTTCTGAAGCTTTAAGTCCCTGCTCAATCCGATACAGTTTAGGAGAATCGGCCTTCTCTCCAGCTCCAAATGCCCGTCTGCTACCGTTAACCACTCTCATGTAGCTTGTCTACGACTCACACATCAACTGTGCCAGAACCTACAGGTCTGTATACAAAAGGTCCTTGATCAAACAAGAGCCCCCTTGGCTTCTGATCTCTCTGTTGTTGACCTGGTGGACCTGTGAGGACTGTTACATTCATCCTAGTCCTGCCTTATCCTGGTGGCTGGTTCCTGGACATTCGCCAGTTTCTCACTGCTTTGCCCCAGCATTGAAATACTGATTTGTCTTTCAACAAATCTTACTGAGCACTTACCAAGCCCTGGGTAGTCACTTCTCCCCTATGGGCTAAGGGTAGTGAGCTTTAGTTCTGTCTCGCTCTACATTTCTATACAGTCTTAAGTTAGAAATTTACAGAAATAATATAGTGCAAAAGTGAGAACTCTAGACCCAGGCTTCCTGAATGCATTTGCCTCACCCCTCACTCTCCTCAGGGAAAGTACACAAACTCTCTGTGATTCTATTTCTTCACCTGTGAATTGGTATGATGACATTAACTGTCCCTGAGACATGTAATGAGGCTTACAAGAATGTGGAAGCAAATTACATTTTGGATGCTTCCATTAAAAAATGTTATTTCCACAGGTTTTTGGAGGAATAGGTGGTATTTGTTTACATGAGTAAGTTATGCAGTGGTGATTAGTGAAATTTTGGTGCACGCATCACCCAAGCAGTATACACACTGAGCCCTATTTGTAGTTTTATATCCCTCACCCCCTCCCACCCTATGCCCTGAGTCCCTCAAGTTCATTATATCATTCCTACGCTTTTGCATCCTTGTAATTTAGCTCCCACTCTGAGTAAGAACATACAATGTTTGGTTTTCCATTCCTGGGTTACTTCACTTAGAATAATAGTCTCCAATCCCATCTGCACTGTTGTGAACTCCATTAATTGATTCCTTTTTATGGGTGAGTAGTATTCCATCATATATATATCATGGTGAGTAGTATTCCCCCCCCCACACACATATATATGTGTATATACATGTATATATGTGTGTGTGTGTGTGGAATACTACTCACATATATATGTGTGTGTAATATTACTCACCATGATACATATATGATGAACTATATATATGATGAACATACATATATATATATGTGTGTGTGTGTGTGGAATACTACTCATATATATGTGTGTGTGTGTGTGTGTGTGTGGAATACTACTCACATATATATGTGTGTGTGTGTGTGTGTGTGTGTGGAATACATATATATACACATATGTATATACATATGTATATATGTGTATATGTGTGTGTGTGTGTGGAATACTACATATATATGTGTGTGTGTGGAATACATATGTGTGTGTGTGTGTGTAATAAAAACCACAGCTTCTTTATCAACTCATTGATTGATGGGCATTTGGGCTGGTTCCATATTTTTGCAATTGTGAATTGTGCTACCATAAACATGCATGTGCAAGTATCTTTTTTGTAAAATGACTTCTTTTCATCTGAGTAGACACCCAGTAGTGGAATTACTGGATCAAATGGTAGTTCTCCTTTTAGTTGTTCTTTAAGGAATCTCCACAGTTTTCCACAGCGGTTGTACTACACGATCAGGGAAATGTAAATCAAAAGCACGATGCGATGCTTTCGTTTCTTCATTCACTTTTATTCTTTACATTCAAAGTATGAATGAAACGTTTTCCACAGTTACAAACAGTGCTCTACCAGACATTTTCTACAACTGTCCTTGTAACATCTGCAAGGGTTTCCCAGCAAATGCCTGCTGAGGAATCAGCACATCGTCACTTTTACAGGCGCCACTGAGTTACCCTCTGACGAATTCCCATTTCCTCACTGTCTCAGTACAAATGAGGCAGTCAGACTTACTTGTTTTTACCCATTAGGATTGTTCTCTTTTCCCTTTGCTTCTGCAAGTTTCCAACACCTTTTTAAAATAGCTTGTTATTATCCTGGCTCCCAAAATAAGCTGCTCTCTAATTTTTCTTACCTATAACTCCCACGTTAAGGGACTGTGCCCCAGTCTAACAGCTATGTAGACAAGAGGTCCTCCAACTGCCTTCTCAGGAAGAAATCTCCTTTTGTAAGGATGTTTGTAAACCCTTTTGCATCAGACATGACACAATACAATTTTCTGTCAGTTCTTGTTCCAGGTAAATTAGGGTGAATCACATGGAGTAACTTTGCCATAAGAAATGGAATTCTTTTGGGGATTGTATGAATTTTCTCACTGAAAATAATTGAGACCCTTTAGATTATGTGTTTGTGTATTTTCATGACCTAAATACGTATAGAAATAAAGGATGCAAGGCAGTGCTGGAAAGCAATTTCTCTCTGCCTTTCACTCAGGATTTCCTGTAACCACTGCATCTCCCCATGAGTAGACATTCTCCCACTTCTGATGGGTCATCCCCCTCCATATCCCTCAGTGAAAATTCTGAAGGGAGGGAATGATTTGACTGCTTTAGGGAATTCCCTCTGCCCTCGTCGCTCTGTTGGGCAGAGACCTTCATGTCTGACCATATCAAAACAGAGTCACTGGAAAGGCTACGCTCAGCTATTTTTAAACCAGTACTAGATGTCGGTTGCAGCAGTGAGCTGTGCCATGCATAAAATGGGCAAGTGCTTCTTCCATGTCGGGCAGGTATCACGTCCCCATGACCAGAGGGACGGCAAGCAGGAATTGCAATGTGCACGTCCTCCGCAGGGATCTGACAGTTGCATTTTCTCTAAAGACAGGTAGAAAACAAAGTGACATTCATGATTCTTGAATTTCTTATTAGATGAACAAAAGGAAGTTATTACTCCATAAATCAAGAATCTGTTTCCCGAAGAGGAAATGGTTTGGCAATAATTTCACAGAAATTCTGCTAAACAAGAAGTATATTCATATTCATTGAATAATACACCACATCACAAGTTTATTCAGGCACAAAAGGCCACTGTATCTGAGCCAGAGATTGTGCAGTGATATTATTACATATTCAGTGTTTACTGTTGGTATTTAGCTGCTTTTTACACACATCTTTTTCTTAATGTAAGTGTAAAGCATATTTTTCTTTCATTTAATAAGTACATTGAGATACTAGCACTTTGTGATTGATAAAACTATTCTATCCACTCAGAAATAGGCAGATAGAATTGAAAAGAGTATAACTTGTGAGTTTGTCCAGGAGTCAGAAACAGCAGAAAATAAACATTCACTCTCTATGTACTTACATTGACAACCTCAAAAATATTTTTAAAAATGAATTATAAATTTCTGGCTAAATAGTGCTATAAAGAATGAGAGGTTTGGGGAATCTCTCCTATGCCCCTTTTCTATGAAGAAAAGGGAGTTTTTAACAAGGATTTACACCAGTCAAGCTTGGAGACAACAGCTGTTCTAGATCTGTGAATGTACCTAAAAGTATATCTAGATAAAACTGGTATCCTAACACAAGAACATGGAAAATAGTATGATATAGGTAAGTATTACATTTCAGAAAAATATCATATTGTTTTCTTATAGAAATATTATATATATGTGTATATATATATTATGTACAATAAGTTGTTATAGTTGAACTTGATTCAGAAGGCTAAATTTTAATCACCGTATACAATTTTTAATTTAAAAAATTTTAATTGACACACAATTATACATATTTGTGAGGTACAGCGTGATGTTTCGATATACTTATACAATATGTAATGATCAAATTAGGAAAACTAGCATATCTATCACCTTAGACATTTATCGTTTCTATCTGGTGAGAACATTGAATTCCTCTCTTCTAGCTATTTTGAAATATACAATATATTATTGTTAACTATAGTCACACTCCTGTGCAATGGAACACTGGAACTCCTTCCTCCAGTCTAACCCTGATTTTGTACCAGGTGACAAACCACGCCCTATCTCTGATAACCACACTCTCCTACTCTCTACTTCTATAAGATCAACTTTTTTAAGATTGCACACCTGAGTGAGATTACATAGTATTTGTCTCTCTGTGCCTAGCTTATTTCACTTAATATAATGTTCTCCAGGCTCATCCAGGTTGCTACAAATGACGGTTTTTCTTTTATATATTGCTGTATAGTAGTTCACTGTTTTATACCACACTTTAAAAATTCTTTCATCCATTGATGGACACTTAGGTTGATTCCATATTTTAGCTATTGTGAATAGTGCTGAATAAACAGGAACATATTTCTTTGATGCATTGATTGCTTTCTTTTGGATACAGACCTAGTAATGGAATTGCTCAAGTACGGTAGTTCTGTTTTTAGTTTTTTGAGGAACCTCCATACCGTTTTCGATAGTGGCTGTATTAATTTACATTCCCACTAACAGTGCACTAGGCTTCCTTTCTCCACATTCTCACCAGCTAGACGTCATAATGTTAAGTGAAATAAGCCAAGCATAAAAAGACAAATATCACATGTTCTCACTCATATATGGGAGCTAAAAAGGTGGCTCTTATGAATAGAGAGAGCAGATTGGCGGTTACCAGAAGCCAGGAAGAAGGGGAGATAAAGAGAGGTTGATTAACATTAGAAAAATCAAACCTAATGCTTAATGGATCAGTAGGGCAACTATAATTAACATTAATCTATTGTACATTTCAAAATAGCTAGAAGAGAATCATTTTAATGTTCCCACAAAATAAAAAGATAAATATTTAAGGCGATTAATACCCCAGTTACCCTGAATTTTTCTTTACATATTATATAATGTATCAAATTATCACATATACCCTGAAAATATGTGCATCTGTTTTGTATCCAGAAAACAAAAAACATTATAATTAAAATTAAAAGCGAAGTCTGCAAATTTTTTTAAAATTTATTTATTATACTTTAAGCTCTGGGGTACATGTGAAGAACGTGCAAGTTTGTTCCATAGGTATACACGTGCCACGGTGGTTTGCTGCATCCATTCCCCATCATCTACATTAGGTATTTATCCTGATGCTATTCCTCCCCAGTTCCCCCACCTCCTGCTATCTCTTCCCTAGACCCCACTCCCCAATAAGCTCTAGTGTGTGATGTTCCTCTCCCTGTGTCCATATGTTCTCATTGTTCAATACCCACTTATCAGTGAGAACATGTGGTGTTTGGTTTTCTGTTCTTGTGTCAGTTTGCTGAGAATGATGGTTTCCAGCTTCATCCATGTCCCTGTAAAGGACATGAACTCGTCCTTTTTCATGGCTGCATAGTATTACATGATGCATATGTGCCACACTTTCTTTATCCAGTCTGTCATTGATGGCCATTTAGATTGGCTCTGAGTCTTGCTATTGTGAACAGTGCTGCAATATACATACGTGTGTATGTGTCTTTATAATACAGTGATTTATAATCCTTTGGGTATATACCCAGTAATGGGATTGCTGGGTCAAGTGGTATTTCTATTTATAGATCCTTGAGGAATCACCACACTGTCTTCCACAATGGTTAAACTAGTCTACACTCTCAGCAAGAATGTAAAAGCATTCCTATTTTTCATCTTCTCTGGCATCTGTTGTCTCCTGATATTTTAATCATCACCATTCTAACTGGTGTGACGTGGTGTCTCAATGTGGTTTTGATTTGCACTGATTTATTTGAAATTTAGCTAATTAAATTTTGAGAAGAGGATAGGGTTAGGAGTGTAGGTTCTGAAGTCGGAAGTATCTATTTGCCTAATTTTGCTTCACCGTCTTAACAGAATCTTTCTTGCTTCCAATCTAGAAGT